TGTCTGTGAACACACGTCAAAAAAATGTTACCAAGAGCATTATCAGAGTTTACTGCTACCCTGGCTGGTGGGGCTCAGTGGTTCAAGTGTTGGCTGCACATCAAAGGGTCACAGGCTTGATTCCCAGTCAAGGGCACATACCGGGTTGCAGGTTCGATCCCTGGTCAGGAAGACAGCCAATTAATGTCTCTCTCTCACATCAATGTTTCTTCTCTCTTTCCCCGTCTCCCTCCCTTCCACTCTCCTGAAGAAATACCGTCAGGTGAGGATCAACACACACACAAAGTTTACTGTCTTTGTTTTCTTCTAGTTTTATAGTTTCCGGTCTTACATTAAAAGTCTTTAATCCATTTCGAGTTTTTATTCTTGTATATACAGGGTGGGGCAAAAGTAGGTTTACAGTTGTGAGAATACAAAATAGTTTTTTCCTGTATTATTTACTATTGTATTAATATCCACATGAATACCGTAAATCTACTTTTGCCTCACCCTGTAGTGTAAGAAAGTAGTCTAGTTTCATTTTTTTTGCATGTATCTCTCCAGTTTCCCAATACCATTTGTTTCTATGTATCAGGTTGATCTGATATATCGCTCAGTCTTGGCAGCATGGCCTGAAGGGGACAGTGGCCGTCTCCCTGGTCACCTGAGCTGGGTGCTCCAGGCGTGTCCCTGTGGGCTGTGCTTGCTTAATGTTGTAGTTGAGACTTGATTGCTATAGGCACATCAGTGGCGGGCTGACCCTCGGGCTGACTGTCCGAGGCTGGCCCTGACTACAGCGGATGAGCTCTTGTACAGGGCTGATCCCACACAGCAGGAGTCACTTCAGGGGGCTCCGGTGCCAGCCAAGTCCACTCTTGGGGTGTGTCATTTGCGGAGCTGGTTAGGTGGTGCGCTGGTGTGGTCTGAAGCTGGTCACCAGATGTGTTGGTTCTGGAGCCTCTCAGGATGGGCTCCAGTGCAGGACAAAGTCAGCTGCAGCTTGTGCCCAGCGTGGGGCCCCCTTGTAGGAGCTACAGCATGACCTGCGGTTGCTTGCCACTGCGCGGGGCTTGGAAGGGCTTGGTACTCTTTGGTGGGTATCAGTTTTGCCTTAGTACTGGAGCAAAAGTAGCCCTAGGCTAATCCCTGGTTCAGGTCCTATCTAATAAAGCTTAAAAGTCTGGTCTAGAAGGATCAAACTGGTTTCCAAGTAACCAAGTATGAGAACAAAGCTCAAGAATATTTATAGGAATACAGAAATACCCAGCAGCCAAGTAGGTACAATTCGGGATGTCTGGCAACCAATAAAAACAACCACCAAACATGCAAAACAGCAATAAAATAGGACCCAGAAAAATAAGTTGAAACTGACCCAGATATTATACATGTGATTGAATTAGTAATTATACAACAGTATTTTACATGTTTAAGAAGCTGGAGGGGGGGGCGCACCCTGGCCAGTGTAGCTCAGCGGTTAGAGCATTGGCCTGCGGTCCAGAGAGACCCGGGTTCGGTTCCCGCTAAGGGCACGTACCTCGGTTGCAGTTTGTCCCCGGCTCTGGTTGGGTCGTGCGGGTGGCAGCCACTCGATGTGTCCCTTTCATGTTGATGTTTCTCTTTCTCTCTCCCACTCCATGTGAACAAAATATAAAAAAAAAAAAAAAAAAAAGCTGGGGGGTGATTGTACATGTTAGGTAGAGAGATGAAATATATAAATACAACCCAAATTGAACCTCCTAGACATGTAAATTACAATGTCTGAGATGAAAACTACACTGGATGAATTAACAGATTCGACTCCAAAAGATTTAGTACCCGGACAGTATGGCTCAGTGGATTGAGCACCATCCCATGGACTGATAGGTCCCAGTTTGATTCCTGGTCAGGGCATATGCCTGGGTTTCAGGCTCCATCCCCCATAGAGGGTGTGCAGGAGGCAGTCAATCGATGTTTCTCTCTCTCTCTCTCCCTTCCTCCCTCTCTAAAAAAAAAAAAAAAAATTAATAAAAAATAATTTTTTTTAAATTAAAAAAGATTTAGTGAACTTGGAGACACAATAGAACCTATCTATCTGAACACAGAAAAAAGAAACCAAAATAAAAAGAACATCAATAGCCCTGGCCAGTTTGGCTCAGCGGTTAGAGCGTCGGCCTGCGGTCCGGAGAGACCTGGGTTCGGTTCCCACTAAGGGCACGTACTTCGGTTGCAGTTTGTCCCCGGCCCTGGTTGGTCGTGCGGGTGCCGGCCACTCAATGTGTCCCTTTCACGTTGATGTTTCTCTCTCTCTCTCTCTCTCTTCCTCTCTCTCCCTCCCACTCTATCTGTACAAAAGATGGAAAAATGTCCTCGGGTGAGGATTAAAAAAAAAAGAACATCAATAAACATGGGACTTCATGTGTCCTGAAGAGGAGAAAAAAAGTGGAGGGACAGGACAAAAAATCTGAATAATGGCTGAAGTATTTTCCAAATTTGGTTTAAAACTATAAACTCAAAAATGCAAGAAGCTTAACAAACCTAAAGTACAGGAAATCAAAAATGGTTGGTGGTTGTGATTGCAGAACAATGTCAGTGTACTTACTGTACATCACAAATTGCTTAAAATCAGTGATAAACAGAAAATCTTAAAATCACCTCTCCCGCAGACACATACATGTACAAAGGAACAAAGATAAAGACGGTAGATACCTCACTGAAACCAGTACAAGCAAGAAGACAGTAGAGATATATAAAGTATTGCGGGTGGGAGGGAAGCTTTCAATCTAGAATTCTCTACCTGGCAAAAACATCTTTCAAAGAGTGAAGGGGAGAATAGGCAAGTACCTAGAGACAGATCAGATTGGTGGCAGGAGAGTGAGTGCTTATTAACAGATATGGAGTTTGCTTTTAAGATAAAAAATTCTCTAAACAGTGGTGATGGTTGCACTTAATGCCACCTAGTTGTACACTTTAAAATAATTAGAAGATCGCCTGGCTGGTGTGGTTCAGTGGACTGAACATCATCCCATGGACTGAGAGGTCTTGGTTCAATTCCTGGTCAGGGCACATGCCTGGGTTGCATGCTCCCCAGTAGAGGGTGTGCAGGAGGCGGCTGATCAGTCTTTCTCCCTCTTCCTCTTTCTAAAAAATCAATAAAAACATATTTAAAAAATTAAAAGATCAAATTTCATTAGATGTATTTTACCAGTTTTTAATATGTTTACTTTTTTTGTTGTTGTTATTTCATTTTTCTTTATTGATATTAGAGAAAGAGAGAGGTGGGGGGAGAGAGAAACATCGATTGGCTGCCTCCGGCATGCCTCCCACCAGGGATTGGGCCCACAACCTGATCTCCAGTGGGGGGCATGCCAGAGGTGGCCAATGTTCTCTCATCAATATTTCCATCTCTCTCTCCCTCTCACTTCCTCTTTCTGTAAAATCAATAAAGGGAAAAAAAAAAAAAGATCATTGTTTAAACAAAACAACTTATTGAGGATTTACAGAAATAAATGTATAACTATCGCACAAGAGCTAAGAAGAGGTAAGAAATGAAACATGCTTTGTAACACCAAACAGAAAGTGGTATAATATCACTGGAAGGTAGACGGTGAGAAGTTAAAGGTGTATACTATAAACTCTGAAACTACTCCCTAAAGAAACAGTTATAATTAATAAGACAACAGAAGAGAGAAAATAGAAATCATAAAAGTATTCAAAAGAAAGCACAAAAAAGGAAACAGAACACGAGACAGAACAAAATTTTAAACCCAATCATATCAATAATCACATTAAATAAAGTTTTCCTTTTTCTCAGGTCTATCACCCTCCAAAAAGTAAAGTTACGGGCAGCGAGATTATTCTCTGCCTCAGCTGGGGAGAGGATCCCTTCCTCCCACCTCACGGAAGTCCCAGAAGCAGCCCAAGTCTCTCAGTCCCAGTCTCTCACCTGAGACACAAAGGTCTTTCTGAGCTGGCTGACTGCTGGTGATTTTTACTGATATATTAGCCACATAGTGTCATGCAAGTCATTCCTGTCCACCTATGAAATGGGCCAATTCTTCCCACTTTTCCTACCCCCATTGTTGGCAGAAGAACAAATGAGCTCAAAATAAGGCACTAGATGGTCCTGTGCAAACTGAGGCACCGAGGGGCAGTGGATCATTCCACCAAGGCTCAGCTACTCTCAGGACTGAGGCTTTGACGAATCTGCCTTGTTCTTGTCAGTCGGAGAGACAGCTGCAGCGATCTGTCAGTGTCCACGAAGTCCGGTCGGAGAGGGAGCTGCAGCGATCCGTCAGTGTCCTCGAAGTCCGGTCGGAGAGGGAGCTGCAGCGATCCGTCAGTGTCCTCGAAGTCCGGTCGGAGAGGGAGCTGCAACGATCCGTCAGTGTCCTCGAAGTCCGGTCGGAGAGGGAGCTGCAGCGATCCGTCAGTGTCCGCGAAGTCCAGGTGAGAGAGCTGCAGCGATCCGTCAGTGTCCTCGAAGTCCAGGTGAGAGAGAGCTGCAGCGATCCGTCAGTGTCCTCGAAGTCTAGGTGAGAGGGAGCTGCAGCGATCTGTCAGTGTCCTCGAAGTCCGGTTGGAGAGGGAGCTGCAGCGATCTGTCAGTGTCCGCGAAGTCCAGGTGAGAGAGAGCTGCAGCGATCTGTCAGTGTCCTCGAAGTCCAGGTGAGAGGGAGCTGCAGCGATCTGTCAGTGTCCTCGAAGTCTAGGTGAGAGGGAGCTGCAGCGATCTGTCAGTGTCCTCGAAGTCCGGTTGGAGAGGGAGCTGCAGCGATCTGTCAGTGTCCGCGAAGTCCAGGTGAGAGAGAGCTGCAGCGATCTGTCAGTGTCCTCGAAGTCCAGGTGAGAGAGAGCTCCGCCCAGAACGCCTGGCACTCAGGAGCTCACACTGGACCTGCCAGGGTTCCAGGAAGCAAGGAGAAAGCAAGCCTAGTGCTGCGTGCCTTCCCCCACGCCTCCCTGGGGTCCAGAGCACACAGGAGAAAGAACCACAAGACTCAGCTAAACTTCAAGTACAAACTTTATTTCTATTACAAGGATGTTAGTAGTTATAATAAAATAAAAAGAGGGAGATGGGCGCTCTGATACTTGGTTTTCAGAGTAAGTCATGGAGACTAGGCCTCAGTCCCAGTCGGGGCGGAGTCCAGCCTGGCCCCGGCAGGGACAGGGAGCTGCGCGCGCCTCCATCGGGGCAGTGATGACACAGGAGCGGCTTCCCACAGAAACAGGAGGCAGTGATGCCGAGCGCCAAAGCAGCAGGTTAAAACAAAGCCCGAGTCCTCTCCCGTCCAGTTCAACTCATCTCCAGAAGCCTGTTCCTGACCTACTGCAACGGGCCCGCACACCTCCCCAGAGCTCCCCCACACCAGAGGCCCAAATCCTAGAGTGGGGAAGGGCAGGACCCAGGAGAGCTTACCCACAAGTTCCCAAAGGTAGGCACCTACCTACAGGGAAGAGAATCACTTCACTGGTGACTACCAGGGTTCCAGAACCCTCTCCCCTCCACCAGGACCACAGAGCACCAAGAGGCAGTGGTGACAATATGTCAAAGATAGAGCCCTGGTGGGCTGAGAGGCCATAACTTATATTTTTGTGCTGCCAAAAGGGCAGAGGCTAAAGCTGAAACATTTCAACCACCTCCCTGCTAACCCTCCCTCAAACCCCCAAACTCCCACATCGCAATTTCAAAGGACACAAAATGGTCATAACCTAGAAAAAGTTAAATCTGTAAAATCTCCCCCGCCACGAGCACGAGGCCTGCGCTGCAGCGAGTGCAGCTGTCAGAGAGGGACCCCGTGCGGTTCTCTGCAGACACGTCACTCCTCTTCCTCCTCCGCATCCCCAGCTCCCTGTTGCTTGGGGGCTTTTGCCTATTGAAAATAAACACAAACGAAGCTTACATAGAAAACGAAAAGGCAGTACACCTCTTGTGCTCTGAAAATGTCAGGCTTCCACGGAAACCTCATCACAAGTCAAAGGAACAGCCCTTGCTGCCCAAGCGGCCTGCTGCCCGTTCCTTCTCTGACCGCAAGAACCACAGCAGACCCACCCACGCTCCTGCGTCCTCACTGAGCACTTTGGGGCTAGATCCCATTACCTTTGCAGTTCTGCTGCGAAAGCTGGCGGTTGTGGGGGTGACCCTTGAGCTTCTGCCACCTTCACTCCTACCGCTGCAAGAGAAGGATTGGAAACTAGTTTGAGATGCCCCTGAGCAAGTCAGAACACTCAGAAGACAAACAGCTGGGACCAGACATAAGCAGCTCACTGTGAAGAGACCAAACAACAAAACCCCCCAGAGAGTAAAAACATTTTGGAATCAGACCACGACACGAGCAAAAGTCCACACTCTCAGTCACCTTCCTGAGCTACTCAAAAGTTCCCCTACTGCCCTGGCCAGTTTGGCTAAGTGGTTAGAGCGCTGGCCTGCAAACCAGGGAGTCGCAGGTTCGATTCCGGCCAAGGGCACGTATCTTGGTTGCAGTTGGTCCCCGTCCCTGGTTGGGGTCGTGCAGGTGGCAAACAATCGATGTGTCTCTCTCACATCGATTTGTGTGTGTGAGTGTCTCTCTCTCTCTTCCTTCTTCCCTCCCTCCCACTCTATCTGAAGATAAATTGAAAAATATCCTCGGGTGAGGATTGAAAAAGTTCCACTACTGAGCTAATGATTCTTACCTTGACCCATATCTCCCCGAAGGCCCACGGGAGAAAGAGGGTGCAAGGTTTTCTGGGTGGAGATTTCGAACAGGGTGAATTACTGGAACGTGCCCAGTAGCCGCGGCCCCATTATGGCTGTTTCTATTCTGCCCCCGGATGTCCTGGCTGTCGAAGTTGTTGAGCTGCATTACACGAGGAGGGCTGGGCTGGGAACCAGGTTTGGGGCCTGATTTGGATGTTGACACTCGGTTACAGGTAATCTTTATATGATTAATGGGTATGCTGGGGGGAAGAGGGTAGGTGGACTCTTTAGTGGTCTCCTGCTTAATATCATCCATGTAACGAGAAGACAGGTCTCCTGCGAAGAGAAAAGAGCACCAGCTTAGGAGAGACTGCTTTTACTCTTAGCACTAGGTTCGGGGCAGGAACAAAAAGATTCTGGGTAGAACACAACTGCCTCACATCTAAAGGCTGCTGAAACCCAAGTCTCCAGACAGGGTTGGGAACACTGTCCACACTGAATACTTATTATCTGAGTCCTCATATACATCCTCCTAACTAAACCTTGAAAAATAATTTCTAACTGGCTTTGTAGTGCATTTCAAAAGCAGTTCACTTGCCTAGTCATGAGACTCTTTAATAATGATGATGATGACTGATGATGATGATGACTGTGTACCCTAAGCAAATCTCAAGTAGAGGTAGGGGCCGGCCCAGGGCAGCCATAGTAGGTCTAAAAAATATTTCCAAATAAGCCACTGAGAAAGGCCACAGCTGAATAACCAGTGACTACTAAGCATGCCTCATGGCTGTCCCCAAAGCCACACCCTATAAACCTACACTCGAGACTGCTCAGTCTAACACGGGACCACAACTGGCCCAGTGAAATCCTGCTGTGCTAGGTAACCCCCACGTTAGAGTAGCGGATGAGAAATGGTGAACAGGCCCGAGTCAGCAGCAGACCTGCAGCTTTGGCTCAGCCCTGGCTAATACCCTGGTGTCGGACACGCCTCTTGGGCAGCTCTGGTGAGGTCTCTCGAGGCTGGAAATCCCGTCTAGGAAACCCCTCCGTCACATGGTTGTTTGCTGTGGCTGGGCGTTGGTCACACTGGTCCTAACAAGAAAAACCAAAATGAGTACCTCTGGGCTGAGTCATTCTGGGAGAGGGAGCAGTGGGAGGAAAGGAAGGAATAGCAGGCTGGGTGAAAACACCTTACGGGGAGACTGTGACAACCACTGAGAGGAAGGGCCTGGGATCCAGAGGAAATGCATCTAGAATGGAGCAGTCATTCCTGTTAGCACCAAGGCACTGACGAAGCACTGCCTGATTTGTGCAGGGATCAGGGAAGGCTGGTGTCAAGAGCTCAAAGAAGCATGCCTATACTTTTTGTTTTTTAATCCTCACCCAAAGATATTTTTCTATTTATCATTAGATAGAGTGGGAGGGAGGGAGAGAAAGAGAAACATCGATATGAGACACATCAACTGGTTGCCTCCCACACAACCATGACAGGGACGAACCACAACTGAGGTACGTGCCCTTGACTGGAATCGAACCTGCGACTCTTTGGTCCGTGGGCCGACATGCTAACCGCTGAGCCAAACCGGCCAGGGCAGCATGCCTATACTTTGACCAGAATACTTGCATGGTTGCTTATTTCATAGACTCCCACAGGTAACAACCAGCAGTCCCTTACCTACTCCTTGTTCCAAAAGCAGAAGGCTTTGTAACATGCATGAGATGTGTGGTGTTCTAGTAACAGCTACATGGCACCAACTGCAGAAATGACCCTACCACACCTGCAGTGTCAGCTCCCCATAATAAACAAGACCGGAATTCTAGACTGCAAAAGCTGGAAAAGGACTTCTAATTGTCTAGTCTAACTCCTCCATTTACAGATATCCCCAGTGAGCGTATAGGATGTGTCCAAGGTCAACTGTAGAACTACACCCTCGTGTCTCCTGAAATGCAAGCCTCAAATGCCACTACAACAGAAGAATCTGCCTGGTCAAAGTAGAATGTGTCAGTGACCTCCAAGGCGCACTCATCTAAACCATTCTGGCAAGTCCTCCACACCTGCTTCAATGGAGTCCTGGCTTCTTGGTCCTCAGCTAGTGACATGATGGTTTCAGTTGCCAGGTGGTAGAGAAAATCAGCTCACAAAACAGGGCATGTCTAGTAGCCAAGTCAGGTAGTCATGAGACTTAAATGCTAAAAAAGCTCTCTCAGGTCTCAAAGTCCCAGGTTCACTCACAGCATCGGCATGAGTCAAGTGACAGGTCCTTCAGGGACTCTTACCTGGTGATGGAACAGCACCTCCTCTTCCAGCTGTACCCCACAGAATTCACAGGGGATGATGATGCTGTCCTCCACAGAGGGCGAACTGCTCAGGCCCATCAAAGAGTCTATCTGGTTACTTGTAGCCTGCTGCAGAAACTTCTGGAAGATGACATCTGGATCTTCCTCTACTCCTTTGGGGGAAGTGCTACCCATATTAAATGAAGGTAAGGCACAGGAAGGGTTACAGCTTGTCTGTATCAAAAAAAAAGAAGAAAAAAAAAGTTAAGAAAAAAATTCTTTAGAAGTCACAAAATTTTAGTAATGCTTAATTATTGAGGAGAGGAACTGGAATGGAGCAGGGGAACGCGCATGTAATACTTTCCTTTTAGTTTAAACATTTCTGTGCCTTTTTCTTTTTTACTGTGCTCATGTGACCATTCTTTTCAAATCAATGTGAAAGGATTCAAGACTCTCCCACAGCCATACAGTAAGAGGCCCAAATATTCTTTGTCATCCTGTTAATGGATTTTCTTATGTTGCTCCCAAACCAAAAACTAGGTATATTCAAATACTGTATTATTCCACTTATGGCGATACTTAAGTTTTGAAAATGCTAGACTAGGCCAAACCAAATCAGAGAGAGCAAGAGTGTGAGGGAAAAGTAGTTCCCTCCAACAGGCAATCCTCCAACAAAGGCTGTGATTCTCTAGTCGTTCCTAAATGGCTCAAGAACTTTCAATCATTCAAAAAATATCTGACACCTCTCATATACCAAATATTAAGATTCAGAAACCAGGAAAACCCAGAATCTGTCCTCAAGGAACTCAACCTAGTGGTGTAAATGACGGGATCAGGAGACCATATCACAGGTGACAGACTAAAAGAGAAGCGGGCACAAAACTTTTGGGGAATGCACAGGTGGGACCTCGGACCTAGCATTCAGAGTGTCACTCAGGATGGTTTCTTGGAAGTCGTGTCTGAACCAAGTCTAAGAGTAAGGGGTCTGTGGTAACGGGTATGTTGAGAAGGCAGAGGTGGAAGGCCACACAGCTTCTAGGCAGAAAAAGTAAAGTTCAGGAAGGACCCCTGTCCCTTCCAGGGAACCGTAAGGACTTCAATACAGCTCCAGTAACAAAATGTGGCGTAAGATGAGACCAGACTATCAGATGGTCAGTAGAGACGTACAGTGGTCGCCACAGTATGGAGGGAGCAAACTGGGCTTGCTGGAATAAGCATTCCTTTTTCCAAGAGGGAACAAGACTGTTTTCATAGCCCTATGTCAGTCACACCACGGGAAATAGAACACAGTCGCTACTCCCACAACAGGCGCATTACGATAGTTTGCTCCAGACCTCACGTGGCCTGCAGCACCAACTATGGCCTACACAGTCCTACTTAAAGCCCTCGAGTAATTCACCACATACCTGATGGTCGATCAGCAGTTCCTCTGGGTAGAGCTCCTCACAAAATTCACAAGGCAACATGGTCTCATCAGCTGCACCTGGGTATCAGAGGCCAAAAGAACAAAAACAAATTTGGTTCAACTTGTTATCCTCCGGTGGAGTTTTAATTAAAACTTGGCTCCCTCTGACATTTCAAGAGATGTAGCATTTTTGGGGGCTACAAATCCTCCAAGGGAAACTACCCAAGAGACAAACTGCAGGCAAAAAACTGCCACTATGGAAACAGATTTACTTGTCACCATTCCCTGAGTAGCATTAAAGTAGTAACTTACCCACTACTCTTTTTTTATCCTCACCCAAGGACATTTTTGCATTTATCTTCAGATAGAGCAGGAGGGAGAGAGGGATGAAGAGAGACAGAGAGAAACATTGATGTGAGAGAGACACACTGACTGGTCACTACCCACACGACCCCAACCAGGGCCGGGGACAAACTGCAACAGAGGCCTGTGCGCTTAGCGGGAACCGAACCTGGGACTCTCTGGTCCATGGGCCAGTGCTCCAACCGCTGAGCCAAACTGGCCAGGGTTACCCACTACTCTTAAGACATTTAAATGTTTAATAAACCTAGGCACTAATCTAAGAGCCTCCTGTGCATGATTTCAATATTCAAGAAAGATTTAAGAAGTAGGTCCCGCCCTGGCTGGTTTTGCTCAGCGGTTAGAGCATCGGCCTGTGGTCCAGAGAGACCCGGGTTCAGTCCTGCTAAGGGCGCGTGCCTCGGTTGCAGTTTGTCCCCGGCCCCGGATGGGTCGTGCGGGTGGCAACCACTCGATGTGTCCCTTTCACGTCGATGTTTCTCTCTCTCTCCCTCCCATTCTATCTGAATAAAAAGTGGAAAAATGTCCTCGGGTGAGGATAAAAAAAAAAAAACAAGTAGGTCCTACAATACTCTCATTTTACAGATGAAGAAAATGAGGCTTATATATTACTGGCAGCCAAATATCCTGAAAAACCTTCCCAGTACAAACTATCAAAAAGGATACTCAGTAAGAGTAACTTAAGCCCAACCGGTGTGGCTCAGTAGATTGAGCGCTGTCCCATGGACTGAGAGGTCCCGGTTAGATCCCGGGTCAGGGCATATGCTGGGGTTGCGGGCTCGATCCCAATAGGGGGCGTGCAGGAGGCAGTTGATCAATGTTTCTCTCTCACATTGATATTTCTCACTTTCCCTTCCTCTCTCTAAAAAACTCAATAAAAACATAGAAAAAAAAACCCCAACTTTTACAAAATATTAGAAATAAAAGTAACTTAAGTAAATAAGAACAATGTTTAACCCAGGATTCCCAAAACAAAACAGCCTCAGGAAGACCACTGAACAAACGGAAGGTGAACAATGACAGGAGGTAAGGAAACCTGCCTAACTAGATTTTGGCTTTGGGTAGGAGAGAAAAGTCTCTAAGAAAAGTTAACACGCTGGCAGGTTTGGCTCAACAGAGCATAGGCCCATGGACCGAAGGGTCCTGGGTTCGATTCCCATTCAAGGACACATGCCTGGGTTGCAGAATCGATCCCTGGCCCTGGCTGGGATTGTGTGGGAGGCAACCAACTGATGTGTCTCTCTCACATTGATGTTTCTCTCTCTCTCTCTCTGTCCACCTCCTTATTTCCCTCTCCCTCCCTCCCACTCTATCTGAAAATCAATGGAAAAATATCCTCGGGTGAGGATTAAAAAAATTGGCCTGGGCTCTTCAAAAGTGCCAATGCCCTAAAATGGGGGGTGGGGGGGAGAGAGGGTAGGGAACTAAAGGAACCTAAAAAGAACTAAACATAACACATGATCCTGGATTTAAAAAAAAAAAGAGAGCGCTCTAACGGACATAATGTGCAAGTAGAGACCTTGTTAAATTTCCTGAAAGCGGACTCTGTACTGCATTTACACAGAATGCCCTTGTTCTGAAGACATGCATCCCGAAGTATGGTATATCCGCAACTTCAAACAGTTCAGGGGAATAATTATAAAAATAAAAGAAAAATACTAAAAATGGTGAATATAGATGAGGGGTACATAGATATTTGCTATACTATTTTGACATTTAAAAACAAAGTTAGCCCTGGCCGGTTTGACTCAGCGGTTAGAGCATCGGCCTGCGGTCCTGAGAGACCCGGGTTCGGTTCCTGCTAAGGGCGCGTACCTCGGTTGCAGTTTGTCCCCGGCCTGGTCGGTTGTGTGGGTGGCAGCCACTCGATGTGTCCCTTTCACATCGATGTTTCTCTCTCTCTCTCTGTTCCTCTCTCTCCCCCCGACTCTACCTGAACAAAAGATGGAAAAATGTCCTCGGGTGAGGATAAAAAAAAAAAAAAAGTTGGGAAATGCAATGAACAAACAAAAAGCAAATTTTACCTCATGGAAAACTTTCCATTTTATATGAACTATATAGTGTAAGACAAAAAAAAAAAACACACAAAAAGCCTGTGGAGACAGAGGCTAGTGAAGAATAAACAAACCGACCTTTTATGTCATTCAGACCGCTGGGACCTCCAAAGGACTGGTCTGCCTCATACACAGCCTTCCAGATGTCCTGCTCTGCCAATCTGGGGGCCTGGCCTTCATTTTGCAGACTTAGGGCCAACATGAAGTCCAAGTTTGCACTGTCTTCACCACCCTCTTTGGGGGACTGTCGGTTTTTATTCCTTTCCTGCCTTTCTTGTTCTTCCACTGAAAAAAACCAAAAACTGGTTCTCAGGATACATGAGCAATGTTGCCATGCTTTAGCGCCAGTCCATGCCTACCAAATATTCAAGGTTTGAAGGCATCTGGGCAGGAACAGAAGAGGCCCAGCCCTTCAGTTCTCACAGGACTCCAAATATTAAGTCTACCATGATAAAAGGCTCCATTACTATCCTAATTGTTTTATTAATAACCAATATTATTCAGCTTTAACTATGAGACAGACACTATGCTAAACATCTCACATGTATTTTCTGCACTGTAGAGCTTGGTTTACAGCTGGGGTCAGACTGCCTGAATTCAAATCCCCGCCCTACCACTTTCTTACCTGCACTCATGGACTGCTGTAAGAATCAAATGAGTTAATACATGTAAAGCACTTTGCAAATGCCTAACGCACATAGGGCATATTCAGTAAATATCAGCTGTTAATAGCACTGTAATCATCCTCAACCCTAACTATAATCCAGTAGTAATCCAATAACAAAGAGGTTCTGTTACTCTCATCTATAGGAAAGTTAGGTATACTTCCTAATGTTAGCTACAGCCAGGTTTCTATAATTAAGATCTATTCGGCCCTAAAGCCCTGTTCCCATCTGCCCTAAGATTTTGATACCCTTCTAATCCCAAACACAACTCACATAGATTATTTTGAATTGGAAACTGGGTTGTCATGTTCCTTTGGTGAGTAGTCCTGTTATGGAAAAGGTCTGATTCTAAGGCTCTCAGGGGCCTTCGGGGGAGCCTCGTGGGTGGATCCAGAGACTCAATCTGTCTGAGGAGTTGGGATGCAATCCAGATTCCATCTTGACCCCAAGACTCATCATATGCACTAGGAGGCAGGGCAATCTCATCTCTCTCTTTCTCCCCATCTCTCCCACAAACTTCAGGGTGAGTCTTCAGATTTTTCACCAGGACATTACGTCCACAAATGCCACATAACTCTGTCCGAGCACCACAGTAATCTTCATGGTCCTTCAATTTGAGAACAGAAAGTTCCAAATCACAGTGCTGGCAAAGGGCAAGCCGTAGAGGACACTCCATCTCCTACAACACAGAGTAATGAAGCAGTTAATATACAGATCTGAGAGGCCATGTCTTAGTGCAGGGCAAGGAAAGCAAAAAAGTATTTACTTCAGTATTCTCTTCCAACCCTAGCTTCGCCTGCCTGCCATGTTTTTCTGTGTATTTAAGAGCCAGAACTTCTGTCCCTGCTACCAGTTTCTACAAAAGGAAGAAAACTCTTAGAAGGAACCTACTCACTTGGCCACCCTGACTTATCATCATTTTGTGCACACATTACAAAGTAACCCAAAATCAGCTGGATAAGCCTAGGAGCAAATAACAAAAGCCAAACAATTCAGACATGTTTGTCAAAGCTCCACTAGCCCAATTTCCCCTTATCAGTCCAATTTGTCTTAAGTACCTGGTGACGCTGCACTTTAAAAGACCCTGATTTGTCTAATCTGCACATTTGTATTATAGCACTGGCTTTAAACTGACCAAATAAGCCAGGAATCACCAGTAAAGATAAGATGACCCAAGAGAACGGTACTCAGCAGTTGAAGAACATATTGCTGATTTAAGTTACTTGACAGCAAAAGAGCAAATAATTGCCCTGGCCAGTATGGCTCAGCGGTTGGAGCATCGGCCTGCAGACCAGAGAGTCCCGGATTCGATTCCTGCTAGGGGTAAGTCCCAAAAAAATAAAAAAGAGCAAATAATTGCTGGCACTCACTAAATAATATGGTAAGTCCTTTAACAACCCTAAAAAGTGCTAGTAACTCAGCAGAATAGCAAATAAAGACTATTTTTAAACTTTATTTGCTGTTCTGCTGAGTTACTAGCAATGGTCTATAACGGTCATAGTTTGACTTGCAGGAATGTTAGGAAATTCTTTGTACTTAAATCTTTAAAATGACTGGTGCATCACCATGTGAACCCCAGAAATTGCTGGGAGAGAAGCCAGAACAGGGGGCAGTTGATTGGAGGTTGTTTATGCAGCAGGTATATATTAGAACCAAAGAAATATTGTTAATGTGACCTCAATTACAAGTCAAATGCTTAAAAAAAGAATGAAGGTAAGAATGCCAAAGTATTTGTGAGATATTTATCTCTGAGCTGTGGAGTTATAAGTGATTCTTTTCTTTTATATTTTTTGTAAAATTTTTTCACTGAATATGAATTACCTTTTAAAATTATAAATTAATCATTTGTTAGTTTTTTAAGGACATAGAATGAAATGCACAAAACTTAATGCATACCTTGATAAACATTTACATAATGTATACACACTCCAGTGTGACCAACTAAGTAGCTGTTGGTGGGATTTTTTTTTTAATCCTCTCCCAAGGCTATTTTTCCATTTATCTTCATGTGTCTCTGTAACCTCACAACTGGACCCATGGTAACTCACTCCCTTCATTGTGCCGGGAAACTAACCTCATGATTCTTTAACTGTCTCTTCTCCAACTTCTTGTTACATTTGCAGGTTACCTAGGATAAAAAGTGAGAACCAATAAATTGGCTTTGTGACAACTTGCTCACTTGCTATTACACAACAGCAACTATAATACATTAATGAACATTTGAGTCCTTGGTGGTTCACCTGACAGTGTTCTGTAGCCATGTGAGTCTCCATGTCAGATTTGGGAAATGGTTCTTTGCAGACTGGGCACATACCAATGTTCCTTTGACAGTGGATCTCATGAATGGTAAAGTTACACACAGGAATTTCTTTTTTGCTACAGAATTAGATCAAAGAAAAAGACAAGCATTACTGACTAATCTAGTCACAGTTGTACCACGTGGAAACCTGTCCTGTCCAATCTTTATTCTCCATTATTTCTCTATAGTGAATATCTAGTCTATTAGCTCTTATGATTGTTACTACCCCTGCTTTTCAAGAATTAACTCCTGAAAGTTTTGAGTCTTCTGTGCAACACTCTCTGAATTATCAGTACTATACACTAACTAAAAGCTCAGCCTCACTTTCTAGATGTCAGAGCTGATCACAACCAACAACATGAAGTGAGATGCCAAAAAGAGCTGAGCTAGGTTTTTCCAAAACTATCCATGCCCCAAAGCACAATGGTCCACTCCAGGATTTTTTTTAATGCCGTTTATTTTCACTCTCAGTCAGGCTGTTGGAGCTACTATCTCAACCTCTACATTTGATCATTTGCAATGTTAGGCTTTGATAACTTAAACACGAATTTCTACCAGATGGCTCATAAAATTGATGACCAATAGCAGCAGTCCTGGGATTGTAGAAGACCCAACAGTATGCTGGCTATGACTACTCATGGCAAGGACAATTTGTCCCTCCAGACATGATGCAGCCACAACAGACATACACTACGTGGATTTTTCAGCCAACTCAGGCATATAGTCCAACTACACCTTAGTCATTAAAAGGAGCACATGGCAGCATCATGTTGAGACTGATTTGGCAGGACCAAGGATTATTTTCACCGTCTTTGGAGCCACGTTGTTACTGCCTGGCAAAATCCAATAGGCTATGCCTATGGATGGTATCAGCGTAACTGGATGTTTAGGAATGTTTTGTTTATTAAACTTAATAAGAATGACAGGTGCCCTGGCCAGTTTTGCTCAGTGGTTGGAGCATCGGCCTGTGGACCAGAGAGTCCCGGGTTCTGTTCCCACCAGGGGCACGTACCAAAAAAAAAAGAATGACAGGTGTTTCATTTAGATGTGTGGCAAGTATCCTTGGATACTGTCTTCTTCCCACAATCCTACTTTCCAGCTTTGTAGTGATATTTTCTTGGCAGAATGGTATAGGAATCATTCTCATTGCTGGAATTATTAAATGGTATAGTTTTTCTGCTTCCAAAATTTTTATTTCTGCATTAGCCATGGAAAAAAAGCAACTTCTAGTAGCATATCCTTGTGCCTTCTTATAAGGAGTCTTTGCCTTAATTTCTGTTTTCTGAACTGAATTTATCTAGGATGTGGACATCTTATAAAATCACAGTGATGTTTGCTTGTGATTATTTGTATCATTGATTACTTTATATCAGTAACAGTATATATAAAATCCAAACTAAGCTAAATTTTAAATGGCAGAAAGTGACAGAGGCATGGTAGAAAAAATACCCTATAAGGCAGCACACCCTCACAGAAATACATTTTATTTTTTTTAAGAAATGAAATCTTAATTCCATGCAGGGAAAGAATATTGTGACCAGCAGTTACTCTGATTATATCCTAATTCTGCCCAAAGGCTGAGCAGGAAAAAAAAAGGCAATAAAAAAACAACAACTGTTATTTGGCTCAAACCTTTCATCAATCTGCACCAAACTATTTCCTTTATTAAACATCTCTTTCCTTCTGACCTAATTTGGTAAGTTATACATAACACAGTTTTGCTTTCTTTAGCTTTTAGTGAGAGCACTTGTATATCACTAAAACACCAAGTTCTTGAGAAATCCCAACCAAGAATCAGATTAGCTGCACTCCTAAGTTTCACTTCAGCAAAGAAGAGTTGCTGTTTCTTGTCACTCACGTGGGTTAAAAACACCAAAATAGAAAGCTTAACATTCAAGACCACGCCCAGTGTTCACTAACAGTTCTGGAATCACAAAATGATAATGATTAATCTGGACTGCCAGAAGACTTTTTAGGCTATTTTTTTTGTTAAGCAACTGAACATTCCTTCAGCAACATCGTGTATAACAACAGTTCAGCTGCTCTGGCTGAACTGCTCTCTCACTACTAGGTGTAAAGCCAAGCTCACTAAACCTTGCTCCCAATCAACCCCAAGACCAGCCACCGTAGCCACTCAGAGAAATCCTTGCAACTACTTTGAAAAACATCAATCTAGTCCAAATATTTTATTATATTTTTAGTATCTTTTTTAAAAATGTATGATGAGCCCTGGCCGGTTTGGCTCAGCGGTTAGAGCGTTGGCCTGCGGTCCAGAGATCCAAGTTCGGTTCCCGCTAAGGGCATGTGCCTCGGTTGAGGTTTGTCCCCGGCCCTGGTTGGGTTGTGCGGGTGGCAGCCACTCAATGTGTCCCTTTCACGTTGATGTCTCTCTCTCTCTCTCTCCCTCCCTCCCACTCTATCTGAACAAAAAATGGAAAAATGTCCTCAGGTGAGGATAAAAAAAAAAAGAAAGAAAAGAAAAATGTCCTCGGGGGTGAGAAAAAAGAAAAAAGTCCTCAGGTGAGGGAAAAAAACAATGTATGATGATAGTTTTCAGAAAGACCAAAAAAATAAATGCCTAAATGCCCTTATTTACAGATCAGAAAAGTGAGGCCCAGAGCAGTCAACTGACTTGCCAAAAGCCATTAACTAACTAAAGGCAGGAACCAGAGCCCTGAGGCCAGCTTCATCTTATCATTCTAGTCACTACACTATGACAGCTAAACCAACTATCTTGTCAAATGGCCAAAACAGGCAATTTTACTCAAAATTGTTAAAAAGGCTTTAGATGCATATATTTGCAAGATATACTCTATATGGCTCTATTTATAACCTGCCATTAAATAAACCAACTCTTTACAGAAGCTTGTCTGTCCTCATTCCAATAACATTTCTTAAATTTAATTTCTTACCAGTTGTCACACAGTCGAGTGTCCAGGTCATCTATAAATTCAGCCATCTTTAGCTCTTCTGGAAAACTACAAAGATATAAGTGAGAACTTTCAACTTCATTTCTGCTTTAAGGATGACAAGCAAAACACAAAAACAAAACAAAAAACAAGTGCACAGAAAATATCACCAAAACTAGTGCATTTTGTAAGAACGAGACGGTGCAGGGTCTCCGGAAGTGCAGGTTTATTGGGAATAGCCTGCCGACTACCTCTAAGGAGAGAGTAGCAACCGGCTTGTGTAGACTAGGGATTTTTAAACTTAGGGCTGGGGAGGGGGGTAATGTGGAAGTTAAGAGCTAACACATTTAAAGCACTTTAGTTAATACTCAACACATGAATTTTACCTTATTTTTAAATTTTCACTTTAAAATAATTCGACTTGCAAAAAACAGCACGAAGAACTCCTATATACTCCTCATCCAAAACATCAAAAATAACCACAGTAAAATGATCAAATGTAGGAAACTAACACTAACACAGTACTAGCAACTAGTCAACAGAGCTTCAAATTTCACAAATCATTCCACTAATACCCCTTTTCTGGTTCAGGATCAAACCCAGGGTCACATACTGCATTTAGTTATCTCTCCTTGATCTTCTTTGATGTGGGATATTTCTTCATCTTTCATAATTCTCTTAAGTGTTTTGGCTAGTCATTTTATAGAATGTCCTTCAGTTTAAATTTGTTTGATGTTTTCTCATGATTACTATATATCTGGTAAGAATGCCATAGAAGTGATGTTGTGTTCACCTTGCTGCATTATATTAGAAAGCATATGGTGTCAACAAGCTTATTATTAGAGGTGGTATTAACTTCAATCACTTAGTTAAGACAGTGTCTGCCAGGTTTCTCCACTATAAAGTTTCCCTTCTTCTTTTTTTTTTTAATCCTCACCTGAGGACATTTTTCCATTTTCTGTTCAGATAGAGTGGGAAGGAGAGAGAGAGAAACATGGACGCGAAAGGGACACATCGAGTGGGTGCCACCCGCACAACCCAACCAGGGCTGAGGACAAACTGCAACCAAGTTACATGCCCTTAGTGGGAACCAAACCCAGGTCTCTCTGGACCAGAGGCTGATGCTCCAACCGCTGAGCCAAACTGGCCAGGGCTCCCTTCTTTTTAAACAAGATATCAATGCAGAAAGCAAAGTGCTGGCAATTTTATTACCAATATATAATTCCTTTCCACGACATAAAAATGGTCTTAAATACTGCCATCAAAAAGGGCCCTGTATTGGTTTTGACATTTCCAAATGAACTTGTTTTTCAAAACACACATTCATTCATTCAACGTGTTAATTAAGACCACGTGTGCCAGACACTGTGCCCTGGCATTTAAAATCCTTTACAAATTGCCTGGCTGGTGTGGCTCAGTGGTTGTGCGCTGACCCATGCGCCAAGAGGTCCCTAGTTCGATTCCCACTCAGGGCACATGCCCAGATTGGGGGCCAAATCCCCAGTGGGGGGCATGCAGGAGATGGCCAATTGATGTTCTCTCTCATGGATGTTTCTATCTCTCTCCCTCTCCCTTCCTCTCTTTCTAAAAAAAAGAAAGAAAAAAAAACTTTACAAATTAAACTGTGTCTGACCCAACAGATCAACTTAGTAAAAGAGAAAAATGAACAAAGACCTTCTGAAGGTGACTATTTTGATGGAAAAGTACAAAGACAAAGGGAGATGGGAGCGAAGGGAATCTCCTTTAGGTAAGGGTGGTGAGGAACTTTGAGATGACCTTTAAACTAAGACCAGAAGTTACAAGAGCCAGCTGTGTAAATAGGAAGACAGCAGATAGGGAGTAGGGGAAAACCCATTAAGGCAGGGGCCCCAAAGAGCAATGAAGGAGAAAGTAAACATAGATCTGGAAGGCAGAAGGAAAGGGGGGATGATTCCAGAAGGCTCCTCATCAAGGACAGAAAGGATAACGCATATTCCAAAAACCAATGGTATTTAAACTAGGGAGTGACATGATTCAAGATACCCACTCTGCTATGAAATGCAAACTAGGGATAGGAAGCACCTACCTATGAAAATAAATCACTTTCCCAAAAGGCAGAAGCCTAGGTACTTTTCCCAGGGCCGACGGATACTACGTGTGACCTATTCCCGTCCACTAAAGCCAAGGCAGAGCCTCTGATGAGGGAAGTACCTGGTTTTCTAGCTGCAAGGGGGCTCGGGGTCGGCCCCTCTGAGGGTCCAAGTCTGGTTCTGACACTCAGTACCTAAGTGATTCAACCTCCCTGGACCTCCCATTCCGCACGCAGACAAGTGACCCTATTTCCAAGGGTCGTTCTGTGCAGTGAATGAGCGAAGGCATGGAGGTGCTTCGGTTCAGCAAATCGTCAACGTCAGGAGGAGCCCCTCTTCGGGACTTCGGAGGCCGCCCCTCGGCCCGAGGGGGCGGGGCTACCGCTTCGGGGTACAGACCCAGGAAGCGATTTCCAGCTGCCCCTCCCCCAGCGGCGCCGCAGGTCGGGATCCCGGCGGGGAGAGGGCAGCAGCCTCGCCAACCGCAGCCGTTCACACGTGGGGTGCGTGTGCTGTGGACGCTTTCCACGGGAAACCTTCATGATCCGGAACACGACCCTCCCAGGCGAAAGTCATCATCCCCATTTCAGAGACAGCGAAAGCGAAAGTTCAGGGAGGCAGTTACCCGCCGCTCAGCTAGTCAGAGTGGGGGCTCGAACCCGGGTCCCTCGGCCGAGAGCCCGCACTAGGCCACCGCGACCCCCACGCCGGCAGCTGGAGGCTGGGCCCAGCTCCGACTGGGGCGCGGTGACCCAGCGGCGCGCCGGCCGACGCCCGTTTCCCAGCGCTGGGGCCAAGGCCGGGAAGGGGCGGCGGCGGCGGGGCCAGGGTCCGTCGAGGCTCCGATTCCCTGCGGAGAAAGCGCCGCCTCCACCATCGGCCAGAGGAGCCGCGGCGGCGCGGGCATCCTTCCCCTAGCGGCCGCGACCCCCCGACCTACAGCCCCCTCAGCCACACACCCCGCCCTCCGGGCGCCGGCCTCCTCCCGAACTGGAGGCCGCAGGGAGCTCCCCAAGCTTGGGCTGCCGCCGCACTCACCTCGCACCAGAAGAAGGACGTCGAGTTGACTCGCCAGCCACAGCCTCCGAGGATCCTCAGTCAACTCCCGCACTGAACAACGGCCTCCAGAGCCGCCTCACCATTTCCGACCGTCGCGGAGGAGCGCGTCCATTGGCCAGGGGCGGCCTCGGCTGTCGGCCCATTGGACAGCACTGTTGTCGCTCCCAGGGCCCCGCCTGCTGTGCGCCGATTGGCTTCTCAGAGCTCCACGGGGGCGTGTCCCTGGAAGTCTCAGCCCCTGCACATCTGGAATGAGGGACAGAGATCTGAGCGGTACTGAGCCCGGCAACTGCCCATGACACAGGCTAATAATATTTGCATGAATAATACTGTACAAACATTACGAATACGCCTAATATATTAAGGTAATTGTCTTTTCCCTCTTGTCATGAGCCATTAATATTTATTAGTCATTCTTTTTCCTAGGACAGTACCCTCTTGCAAGATAGCAGCAAGACTCTGCCCATATTTGAGCAAACTTTTTGCGGTGGAAGACTGAGCGGCTGAGGCACAGGTTTGAGTCCCAGATTCTTCCCTTGCTACTGTATGGATTTTCTGAAATTCGCTTCCCTCGTGAATAAAAAGTAAACCTTTAAATGTAACCAAGAAATCCTATTTACAACAGCAATTTAAAATAGTGATTTTATTGTAGGTACTTGCAAAATGTTTATGAGATAGTGCTAAGGAGGAAAATCAGGCTACAAAGCATTATTTATTTGTAACGGGACAGAATATTTAGTTTAAATAGGCAGTACAGTCTGTGTGATTCCAAAAGTTGTAAAGTTCAAAAACAGGCAATACTAATTCAAGGTGAGAGAAGTCAGAATAATGGTTCTAACATGGAAGTAGGGTACAGACTGGCAACCCTCAGAAGAGGGGGTGGTGGGGGGAGGGAAGAGATAAACCACAGAACTTATATACATGTGTGCATAACCAGTGGACATGGACAACAAAGCCCGCGATGGGGGCAGGGGGAATGGGGAGGAGGGTGTCAGTGGGATAAAAAAGGAGAAACATCTGTAACAAAAATTAAATTAAAAATAAAAAAAAGAATAATGGTTCTATGTGGAGGATATGGACTAGAAGGGAATATAAGAATGTTTCCAAGTCCTGAAAATATTCTATAGCTCAGTCTACAAGGTGGTAAACATAGGTGTACAAAGTAAATAGTCACTAAGCTGTACACTTAAGATGTAAACACTACATTGTATGCTTAAATGTTTTTTTGGTTTTTTTTTTAGTCCTCACCCCAGGACATTTTTGCATTTATAGTGGGAGAGAGAGGGGGAGGAAGAGAGAGAGAGAGAGAGAGAGATAGAAATATCGATGTGAGAGAGACACATCGACTGGTTGCCACCTGCACAACCCCAACCAGGGCCGGGGACAAACCACAGCCGAGGTATGTGCCCTTAGTGGGAACTGTACCTGGGACTCTCTGGTCCGAGGGCTGACGCTCTAACCACTGAGCAAAACTGGCCAGGGCTGAATGTTTTTTGATTGACTGATTGATTGATTGATTTGAGAGAGAGAGAGAGAGAGATGAAGGAAGAGACAGAGACAGAGACAGAGACAGAGACAGAGAGACATTGATCCGCTGTTCCATGCACCCACTGGTTGACTCCTGTATGTGCCCTGACCAGGTTGGCATATGATGTTCTAACCAACTGACCTTCCTCGCCAGAGCTTTACATTATATGTTAAAGAGAACATACCATTCAATATTTGCTGCACCTTGACTATCTTTTTATACTACATAATCTCTTGGAGATCTATTTATTATTAGCGTAGCTATCTAGAGTATATTTTTTCCTTTTCAATAGTAAGTCTATTGTATGGATGTACCATGATTTATTCAACCAGTTCCCTGTTGATAGACATTTTGGCTATAAAGCGTTTTTTGTTGTTGTTTTTTAATCCTCACCTGAGGATATTTTTCTATTTATCTTCAGAGTGGGAGGGAGAGAAAGGGAGAAAGAGAGAGAAACATCTACGTGAGAGGGACACATCGACTGGTTGCCTCCCACATGACCCCGACCATGGCTGGGGACAAACTGCAACTGAGGTTATGTGCCCTTTCCTGGAAATCGAACCTGTGACTCATTGGTCCACCACTGAGCCAAACCGGCCAGGGCTAAAGTGTTATTTTAAAATAACATATAACCAACACCTGAAGTCCAGAACGTCTTCAGCACCAACCTCTCTGATTTGCTCAACAAATGCATAGAGTGCTCCCTATGTGACAGGCCCTTGATAAGACATCGGAGCTTCAATGACAAACAGCAGGACAAGCTCCTACCTTCCCAATAGTTTACCTTGGAGACGGGCACAATAGTAATGCCAATGAGGGTGATACATGCTGTGGTATAATAAAGAATATACAGGTTTACCCCACTATCCGAAAGGAGAGTGTTCCTGTGAAACCTTTCATAAGCCGAAATGGCGCAAATTGAAGAAGCCATTATATTAGGACACGTCTTGCTAACAGGTCCACACAATAAACTGAGACAAAGCACAGAGGCTCACACAGTTCTAAGGAAGGAGCTTGGCGATGCCACTCTCACTGCTCCAGGTGTGCACTGCCTCTATAGCCACTTGCTGCAAAACTTTCTCTTTTCTACAACCCCTGGGAGCACCCTTCTAGCTGCTAAATGGGATGCTGCCCAATCCATGAATCGCTTTATAGAGCCCATTAGATCTTCAAATTTACTAAGTTGAATTTTGTATATTAACAGTGTGAATCTATGGCTCACAATAATTAGTTGTAGTCTCTGCCTGCAGTGAATTTAGGTTATTTGTAAACAGGTCTGTGAACTTTGAAACAGATTTTCCCATAGAAGTAGTATTATAGTGGTGATTCCAACCTCAAGCTAATCCGTAAATGTCATTCAACTTATAACAAAACTTTAAATCAACCTTGTGAACTATACAGAATCCTTCAAACAAAATCTTCTCCCCTTACCCATATATCCTGCAGTAGAAAGGGAATTATTTTTCCCTCCATAAAACTGTTATGCCTTTTGCCCTGGCCAGTGTGTCTCACTTGGTTGAGTGTTGTCCCATGCATCAAGAAGTCCCCAGTTTGATTCTTGGTCAAGACACATGCCTGAGTTGTGGGCTCCATCCCCAGTAGGGGGCGTAGAGGATGTTTTTCTCCCTCTCTTTCTAAAATCAATTCAAAAAATAGTAAAAACAAAAAACCAAAAAAAACCTGTTATGCCTTTTTGACCAAGCAACTTGATCAAGAAACTTTTAGGAAGCCAAGTTATATATGGAAAAGTGTAATTACAAGGATGTCTATTACTGTTTTTAGGAATGTAAAATAGCAACAAATGTTTCCTCAAAAGGAGACCAGTTGAATAAATTACACTTCAATAAAACTATATAAAACGTGGAAAAGAATTAAGTATGGAAAGAGATGCAAAATAAATTGTCTTATGAAAAAGTTGAAAAAAAAACCCATAATACAATTTAATAGGATTTTATATTTGTGAATACTAGACATTTATAGGACAAATAAAAATCCTAGTAAATCCTATTAATATTTTGGGTTTTATATATGTAAATAATATTAAAAATAATATTAGTAACATTAAACTATTTATCTAATACTATATGTTAGAATAAGCTTAGAAATAAGCTGGAGGAATAATCCATTCCCTGTGGTAGCCTTTGAAAGGTTGGGTTTACAAGGACTTTCACTTCTTATATTGAATAAACTTGCAAGTAAGCTATTTTTGTAAGCAGGGGGGTAAATAATCCATATTTCTCCCTCTGGTCCTGACTGCACACTGTGCATTGATGAGAGAATTATAAGCCAGATTTTTAGACTTGCTGACTGCTTTGTGTGACTTCTTGGTTGAATACTCTGTGGCATCATTTTTTTTTTTTTACCCTAGTTTTGTTTTTTCAATTTTATTGAAGCATAATTTACAAACAATTAAGTCCCAATTTAAAATGCATAGTACCATGTGTTTGACATATGTAACTGACTATAATCAAGACATAGACTATTTTGATTCTTCATCTGTCAATCCCCACCCCTCACCCAGGCACTGGTAACCCCTAATATGCTTTGTATTATTGCAGAGTGGAGTTTCATATAAGTAGAACCATGCAGTGTCCACTTCTGTGTCAGGTTTCTTTCACTTGGCATGTGTTTGAGGTCCATACATGCTATTGATCATATCAGTAATTCAGTCCCTTTTATTGCCTGGTATCATTCCATCCTATGGATGTACCACAATTTTCATTGATGGATGGGAGAGTTAATTCCAGTTTTTGGCTAATATGGGTAAGGCTGCTATGAACATTCTGTACAAGTCTTTTTGGAGGACATATGTTTTTATTTCTCTTGGATAAATACTTAGGAGAGGAACTGCTGGATCACATGATAAGTCCGTTTTAATTCAAAAAAAAAAAAAACTACCAGTCTGTTTTCCAAAGTGATTGTACCATTTAACATTCCCACCAGCAGTGTATGAGAGTTCCAGTTGTTACACTCCCTTGCCAACTTGGTATAAATACATTTTGAACAAATAAACAGAAGACTAGTGATCCTGTCTCCCAGGAACAACTCACTTTCTTGGCTTGCATGGGTGACTCAGAAGTTCTGAATGCAGTTTATAGTGGGACACAACACCATCCAGGGGAGCAAGGAATAAAGGAGAAATAACGAAGAGATCAGACTTTACTTAACTCCCTGGGGCACCTTATTTGTACTGGCCTATATCCAGCAGCAGAAATTTAAAAAGTTTACCAACATTTTATTTCTGACCAAACTGACCAGCAGGGTGTGGTGATTGTAGCAGCAGCAGAAAGGATTTAGGGTAGACTTGGTAAGTCTACTAAGAGATCACCTGTAAAAGATGAGATGCAGTTCCCTTTAGGCGGTGTTTCTCCAAATGTTTCACCCTCTCCTGCACCAGAATCACTTGAAGGCTTGTTAAACATTTAAACTTCTGTAAAGTACAGCATAGGGAATATAGTCAATAATATTGTAGTCATTATGGTGCCAGGTGAGTACTGGAAATACTGGGGGGAATCACTTTGTAAGTAATATAGATATCTAACCACTGTGCCGTACACCTGAAACTGATGTAATATTGAATACCAATTGTAATTGAAAAAAATTTTTTTTAAAGTTTAATTTCTGGCCCTAGCCGGTTTGGTTCAGAGATAAGAGCATCGGTCTGTGGACCAGAGAGTCCTGGGTTCGATTCTGGCCAAGGGCACGTACCTTGGTTGTGGTTTGTCCCTGGCTCCAGTTGGGGTCATGTGGGTGGCAGCCAATCGATGTGTCTCTCTCACATTGATGTCTCTCTCTCTCTCTCCTTCCCACTCTGTCTGAAGATAAATGTAAAAATATCCTTGGGTGAGCCCTAACCAGTTTGGCTCAGTGGTTGGAGCACTGGCCTGCAGACCAGAGAATCCCAGGTTCAGTTCCCAATAGGGATACATACCAAAAAAAAATTATATATATGTATCCTCAGGTGAGGATTAAAAAAAAAGTTTAAT